TAAAGTGTATATTGTGTGGTTTGCAAGTTTCCAATCATAATGAAAAGTGTCTGGATATTCCTTTTCATCCAATGGGCACCAGGTATCAATAGGAGCAACATTGCCCCCAACTCTCTCATTCTGTGTTGTTGTAGTATTAGGACACTTTACAAGTGCAAATGGAAAATAGGGCTGATCTTGTGACCAGGATTTTGGCTCATCCCAGTTAGGAGGGCTATTGGGATGGTATGTCTTTCCTCCTCCTAGTGTAGTGTACCCACTGTTCTTAAAGTGCTCTGGAAGTGATATCCAGTCTGGGCCTGTAACTCTGAAGTTAGCATTTCCTAATCCTGCCCAAACGTGAGTTGTATCTGGTCTCCTTCCAGTCATGAAACTGTTCCTCGAGGGAATACACAAAGCATGCTGACAGTAAGCTCTTTGGAAGACAAGACTCTCTTTGGCCAACCTGTCCAGGTTTGGAGTAATAATATGCTTCTGATCATATGCTTCCAGCAATTCAGGCCTCAGATCATCAACTGGCATAAAGAGTACATTTTTTGTTCCACTGGCAGCTAGTACTACCGTCACAGTAGCAGCAAAAAAGAGAAATATTGCACTGTTGACAGCCATAGCTTGCTATAGACCTCTTCAGGTGAGATTGACGGTGGCCTATGAATATCATTACTGTTTATTACGGTATCCACCTACGGGGATGATTGGCTGCCATTTTGGACGGCAAGATTCAATGGAGGATGAATGAAGGAAAATCAAAACTAATTTTTTTCGTTGGCATGGAGCTTTTTCAAGCTACAAAAGCTGGTTGGAGGAAAGAATGGTCGCTGATAAGCATCTCCTAAAAGGGATTTGGTGCAATATGAAGTACATTCTTTATTACAGCTTGCTTTCTGCATTAGCCCATTCATACTCCATAGAAAGTTGCCGTCCACGAAAATTATTTCAGAGTCAGACAGGCTCAGTCACGCCCCTTACCGTATATCATTCTTTGACGTAATTCATTCTCACCCAAAGAGGTTTATACCTTTCTAATGCAGCCACACCCTTAATTGGATTCAACGCCCACGCAAAACACATTCAACATTAAATGGCTGTCAGTGAGCTAATATTGGGTATTGATATTGGTACTAGCACAGTTAAAGGGACATTAGTCGATAAAGAGAGTCGTGAGGTGGTCGAGAAACAATCAGAGCCGACTCTAGCTCAAATTTCATCCCAGAGCAGTGGAAGAGGTGTGGAAAAAGATGAACAAGATGTTTTGTCAATTGTGAAAGCAATGGAACTATTAATGTCTCGCTTCTCTTCTCATAATCTTAAAAGAGTAAAGGGTATCGGTATATCAGGACAGATGCATGGGGTTGTTTTATGGAGAAACGGTGGTATAAAATTAGAAAATGGCCGCATAATTGTTACCCAGAAAGACTCTGTTTCCTCATTAGTTACTTGGCAAGATGGTCGATGTAGCAAAAATTTTCTCTTGACGCTGCCCAAAACTAATCAGCCTATTCCTCTCAGCACTGGTTACGGTTGTGCTACATTGTTCTGGTATTCAAGAGCCTCTGATGCAGAGGGTACTCTCAGTTTGTATGATAGAACTGGTACTATAATGGATTGTTTTGTTTCTGTGCTCTGTGGTAGCACTGAGGTCATCATGTCATCACAGAATGCTAATAGCTGGGGATACTTTGATGTAAAGAATAATACCTGGGAATATGACATGTGAGTGCTATAATATGTGGCTAAATTATCACATTAGAAAGTACAGTAGTTATATTAGCTTGTGTATTTAAAAATTGATATTAGTATTCACATTTTACAGGTATAATTTATTGCTAAGTTTTGAAGTTCCAATACATTGTAACTTTCATAATTTTAAATGCTTCATGTTTTAGTCTCAGAGATGGTTCATTTCCTGTTCATTTGCTTCCAAGAGTTGTATCAGCTCCATCAATTGTTGGATCATTAGTTAGTGAATGGTGTGGGGTTCCTCCTGGTGTACTTGTTGCTGTGGCCATGGGAGACTTACAGTGTTCAGTATCTGCAGTGAAACCATTACCAACTAATGCCAGTAAATAGTGGAATATGCTAGTTAAAGTATAATAGTTATTTCTGTTTTTAGTACTTAGTATTGGCACATCAAGTCAACTGTCTGTCATCAATAATTGTATTTCATTTGATGGTTCATTGCCCTCTTCTATAATGGAAGTACCTTATTTCAATAATAAGACATTGTTAGTGGCTGCTGCTTTGACTGGTGGTAATGTCATTGCTAGGCTGGTTGACTTCCTAAAGGAATTTCTCAGAGGGTAATATATTGGCATTAGGTAGTATATTTGTAGGGTATATAGGTAAAGAATTTGTATTATCAAATGTAATGTCGCCGATAGTTGCCAATGGTGTGAAAATGATACCATTATTATTTAGTTTGTTGGGGGGCTCATTGGTATTATTTTTATATGTAGTGGTGGCGCCAAGGGGGACGATCTGATTGCAGGGATTGCCAATATACCCCTTTTTTAATTCCGAAATTTGGCCCAACTTCAAAATTTTATTAAAATCCAATTTTGATTGGAAGCACCTCAAACTTTCTATGCAATATTTAATACATGTATATGCATCAGAAAATAAATTTTTCTCCTTTTCAATTTTAACAAAATTTTGAGCAATTTTAGAAATTTATAAAAAAATCAAATTTTATCAGAGTCAGCTCAAACTTTCTACGCAACATAAAAACATGTATATGCATCAGAAAAATTATAAAAGTTAAGAGTTTCTCCTTTTTAATTTTGGCAAAATTTAACCCAAGACCGTGTAAAATTCTGTAAAATTTAAAAATAATTTTAATCGAAAATTCAGAATCATTCAGTTCAGCACAATGTCTGTTCTACACAGCATCACATGGATGAGTTTATGTTATTACATTGTATTATTCCTATTATTAATTTTATTACAGAATTCACATTCCTGACTCTGCAGTAGATACTAATAGTATCTATTCATTTCTTATCAAATCAGCAAATGAGAAAAGAAACACATCATTACAAGTATCTCCTTTAATACTTGGTGAGAGGCATGCTCCAACCTTAAGAGGATCAGTTTCTAATATATCCAGTGATAATATCAGTGTTGGTGATGTATCCTCTGCTGTTATGAGAGGTATTGTTGACAACCTTAAGGAAATGATGCCTTTGGCTTTACTGCAACAATTTAAGGTAAGTATATAGTGTCTACAGCATCTTGTTTATTAGTGTTGGAACTTGAATCTTAAACATACTTTATTATAGATTTCTGGGCTATAGTGTTGTTTTTACGAATCAATTTTAATAGCAACAATAATTTACTTTTTGTATCATTATACAGGTAGATACGCTAATTGGGTCTGGTTCTTGCTTAGATAAAAATCCAGTATTAGCTCAACTGATAGTTGAAGGGTTTGGTTATCCTCTAGAGCTAAGAAGCAATGTGGATGCACCATATGGAGCTGCAATGGCAGTGTTAGAAATAACATGAAGTAAAATTGATTATGCATGCTGTTTTTCTCTAACTTATATTCACGTCTTTCTATTTTCCATTACTTTTTGTTTATATTAATTGTATTTTTATCATAAAAGGGTAAATCTATTGGAAGTGATGCAAAATGACTTTTGTGATAATCAATGATTAGTACATTAATGCAGATCTAGGCTTCTAGGTAACCAGCAAATACGCTTGGTAGACATAGCCTGACCTCTTAGACAGAGAGGTCAGAGGAGGAAGAGAAAAACAGCTTCAAGGAGACAGCTAGCTTATAAAAATACTAGCTTTTAACTTGTTATTTGGTGTTGGACCAATTCAAGTATTTCACAAAAAAGTATTATGTTATTTAGTACAAACAACACATGTGAGCACTCTCTTGTTGACATAAGGTGGACAGGGTAGCCCACTACATGTGGAGTGTATAAAATACAGCACAGTTACTTCATTGCTACTGTCATCACTACCAGCAAGGGACTCCACATTCTCATCGACACACTCGTATACTGTATTCCTTGCATGATTGTATCGCTCGGCCATGAGGTATCCTTTATATTCTATAGTCCATGTCGAGGGACAAGTAATTCTTCCAGGGATCATTAGCTTCACACTCTTCTTAGCCGTGTAGCACACTGCACAAGGAACATTGTGATAATTCTTTCCTAGGAATATACCATTAACACTGCGATATTCTGAACCATACATATAGGAGCCATCCAGACTAGGTATGTGGGTACTGACATAGTGTGGAACCTTTGGTAAACAGATATAGTTGGCACCTCCTCCTGGTTGGTCCCATTTACTTCCTCCTGCTATTCCTTCATATAACAGTTCAGCTCCAGTGTCAGTTGGACATGATGTCCTTCCCCAGCGTGTGTATACTACTCCTCCACTTTTTGGTCCTGCCGGTCCCATAGGTCCACTCTCACCTTTTATTCCTATGTCTCCCCTCTCTCCTTTCTGACCATCCCTTCCTGTGAGACCATCACGACCATCTCTGCCACGCAATATTTGAATATAAATATCTTTTACTTCAGTGTTGTTTATTTCAGAAGAGGATTCTGTCACAAAAATAATTGTGTTATACCAATTAACAAGACTAGCTTACTTATTATGATATCAGCATCTATGACACTAGCAAAAACTAATGCAGCAGCACATACAACAAAAAAATTCATGGCTCTTGCTGTATTACTTGATAATTTCAATAGCCCTGACTTATATTTCAGTATTTTTTGTATCTTTTGTTACAATTAATGCCCATTGGTTTTTTGTTCATATAAATGCAGCTTTGATAGCCTGCAGCCAGCTGAAGGGACTAAAGCTGTTTTATTGTGGCTTGACCTCTTACACTATTTTTGTCCTCTCCAACCGGCTCATGTCTCTAACTCTATCCCCTCTTGAGCAATCGAACAATTGAAGATAAAGGAGCCTCAATGTATCTTCAACACCATAGGTTTGTTTGCATGGCTTTTTGACAGCAATTATAATTGTCTTTATTTACCAAACAGATAGAAATTAATCACAAATAACTGTTATTATTATTATTATTATTATTATTATTATTATTATTATTATTATTATGTTTTAACCCATTCAGTTCCAGGTTGGTTCATAATCTGAGTGGCATACCTTATATGTATAGCCACTATATCCAACTGCTGATGAACAAACTCCCAATCTTTAACACTAGTAGCATTAAAAATAGCATCAGTTACTCCAGGGAATGAAGCTCCTGAATAAGAATAAC